AAAAAAAAAATTAATCATTAGAGTTCAAGAGCGAGATTAGAAAGTAAAAAATTTACCACATTTTAATTACCTCTTCTGTCGTGATCCCAATCATTAATTCACTGTAGCATTCCGCTGGCTAATTTTAGAAATGCAAGCAGAGCTTTCGTTTGGTATAATGTTTATACTACTGTAGATGAGACCTTTAAAGGGAAAAATGGATAAAATATATTAGCCAGAAAGGTTCCATAGAAAATGATATACAACCTTACGCAAGTAAAACTCAACTCTTTTTGGGGTAGTTTTTCTTAGCTAAGCTACTGCATGCTTGAGCTTGATGTTATGCTTGTTCCCACCTAATCCCTTTCAATTCTTTCCTGCTATAAACAGGAAGTCTTTGGATTACCTTTTGTGCTGGTAATTCTTTTCCTCTTCGCCAACACTGCTGCCCTTGCAAGCATCTATCAATATATATTCCTCTCTTCAAAAACACCATCATCCCTCCCCTTGATGAACGTACTGTCTTAAGGGCATCCGCATGTACCCTCCACCCGCTGCCACCTACTTCCTTTGCCTCTTGCAAGCAAGCCTCGTATCACCGCCGCCTCGACCCTGACCCTTTGTTGATTAATTCGTTCCCAACACTAGCCTCACTTAATCATTTGTCCCTGAAATATCTCCCCGCATCTTACTTATAAAGATGATGAAGAGGAATAGTTTGAATGAGAGAATAATCGCACAGATGAATAAGAAAAAGAGTGGTGATAACAAGAATGCTAAGAACAGTAGGTTCTTGATTACCATCAACGTTCTTGGGAGCGCAGGACCTATAAGGTTTGTGGTGAATGAAGATGATCTTGTCTCGGCCGTTATCGATACAGCTTTGAAGTCTTACGCCAGGGAAGGCCGTCTTCCGGTTCTGGGTTCCGATGCCAATAACTTCCTTCTCTACCCTGCAAATGCAGGATCTGATGGTAAAGTTTAGAAATACTATTTTCATTTTTTTTTTTTTTTTATGGTCATTTTAGATGGTGTTTTAGTTCTAGACCTCGATTCCAGAATTAAAATTTTGAAAATCATTGAATAGCAACTCGGCTAAGCTGTAGTTTAGAATTTCCTTCTAGATTTTTGCTTTTGGGGTTGCTAGTTAATTTTCACGTTTACATATACATTTCTTTTATTATTATTACTCTATTTTCGCTTGCTTCATTTATTTTAGCTCTAAATCCATGGGAGAAGATAGGAATGTCTCAAGGAGGAAGGAACTTTGTCTTGTGCAAGAAGGCGGTGCACCCGCAGAAGTCAGAAGGAAGGTCAGAGATTATAGCCCAAAAGAACAGTAGGTGGAAAGCGTGGCTCAATAAGTCCTTCAGTTTCAAGATCTTAACTCACTGAGAGATTATACACAAATTACAAAGAATTTTATGTTTTATAGTTTAGACTATGTCGAGCTGTAAAACAACAATCATTGAATGAGAAACAACTCTCAATATAAGGACCCTACCCACTCAACCAATAATTTAAGTTATGCGATTCAGGCTATATTTTACATAATTACAAATTAGGCACAAGAGGGGGGTGTGTTCTCTTTTACCACATTCCATATCAGTTTCATTGTTGTCACATTCTGTGGAGGGGATAAGCATCCGGACAAAAGAGATTGTTATCATAAATGTAATGTGTTCTATGCAATAAATATACATGAGAGATCGATATATGCTCTTTGTGAAAATTCCAATCCTTAATTATATTCCGATTCTTCTGTTGATTCTGATTTTCTTCATTTTCATCTGATGTTGCTTGTCAGTCGTTCTACAAGCAAGCATGGGGGTCCTTTCTTTAGTACTTACCTCTGCCATAATGCCACAACATAACAGTGGAACTTCCCTGGACTGTGCAGCCTCCAGGTCTTTTATCTGCTCCTTCAATTTCTCATGAACAGGCCAGCTATACACCAGAGTAACAAAAGCACTTTTTTGCTAAAAAAAACTCAAAGCTCACCACAAGTTCTAGAAATTTTGCCAATCAAATCAAAAGACCATTGTTTAACCCAAGAAAGTAAAACGAGCTACTGCTTTGTATAGGGAACATATATAGATTCAAGCCATATATTATTCTTATCTCATAGCAAAAGAAAAGGGAAAGGAAAAAAGAAAAAAAAAAGGCTCATTTAGTCCACTGGCACATAGATCAGACGCTCAAAAGATAGCTTCATTAGACAAAATTTTCAGAGTCACAGAAGCAGGCAAAAAGGAGGAAGGTGATCATTGTTGAAAGGGAAAAGTCAAATAACAACTTGAATTCCAGCCGTTTGTCAAAATGTCAATTTAAAAGGAGTTGCAAAAATTCTGCTAATCCAAAATATCCAAAATAAGGCAGTGAGAGTCATTATATCTTCTAACTGTGAGAGAAGATGAGATTGA